AAGTGTGACGCTTGCTTTACTATGTAGTGAAATCCATTCATGGGTGCATACTGCATATGTAATTCCCGACAACTAGTGAACTAACTACATGTAGATATTTTAAAAAAGCTAACATTAACCATTTTATTTATGTATGAAATAAAAATAAAGAAAAACATGTTGCTATTATTATTGAAACCACATAACACACCTTGCATACCTATAATGTAAATAAAAATGTCAGCAGCAAATCAATATGTACCTAACTACGTGCCAGCTGCAAGCCAGCACAGTATTGATTTCTAAATAAGAATGCAAATATGAAGCCTTTAATATATGACAAATATGAAACCAAATGTAAGGCTAATTAGAATCTCAAAATGCAAAGAAAAAACATTTTGTTCATGCCCTGTTGCCTTGTGGCCTTGAGAATTTAACAGACAAGGTTTAGGGCAAGATACCTATAAGAAACGTTTAGGGCATAATCCAATAATGTAGTGTGGTTCACTTTTTAAAGGTATAAACACATGACGTCAATTATCTTAACCTTAGCTTTAGCTTGTCATAACTAATTAAACTCAAAATAAATAAACCAATTTTTATTAAATTTAGCAAAAAAAATACAACACCGAGCCTAAAAATGGGCGTTTGCGTTAATTATAAATAACAAAGTTAAATAAAACGTCACTTTCCAGTTGATTTGCGTTATGGTAGCGTTTTTTTAGCTATGGTAGCGCCGCTACGATTTTTTGCTTTTCCTTTACGTTTGGGATATGGCAGCAATTATGATTGTCGACAGAAATTGCTAATAACTTACAAATACTCTTATCTATGCAAGCTCGAGAAACATTTGTCCACGTTAATGACGTCATACAATTTTAATTTGAAACCAAATCATGTTATATTTTTTCTTAACATTTATCATTTTATTATTTTCTGGCTAAAAAGATCAAGTTCTCATATCGTTTTAAATCTGTTCCTATTCATTTATCAGCTAGAATTAAATAAAAACTTCATTTTTCATCTTGTTTACGAATAGTTATTTGCGACGTCATGCGCGACCACGAATTAGGAATTGTGAACCATCGGAAAAGAAAAATGTGAGGGTTATTGATGGTCTTTCTAGACAACTTTGATAGACAATTATTTAAGGTTTTATTTCAATTGTAAACTGGTATCTATCTCATACTTGTTAGTGTCCCTTACTAGCACTCACAAAGCCAACCCAATGTGAGTATTTCAGTAACAGTCCACAGATGTAGTGATTGCATAAATACAGGCTGAGGCAATTGCAATGCTGACTTGCCAAAGTTGAATATAATAGGTAGCTGATGCCAGCCAAAACATTAAAGGTGCTCACTACTTCACTAGCAGTTTCATGACTTTTAAAATAAGTTTATCTTACCTGGTGGCGGGAGCAGACTGTGACAAGTTCCTTGAATCGATTCAAAATGTGACTCGCGTTACCTTGAATCGACTCAAACTCTGACTCATGTGGCCTATCCATAGGTGAATCGACTCGACTCATGATTCATTAAGCTTTCAAATTATTTGATTCGACTCAACTCATGACTCGAAGAAAAACGACTGATTCTTGAGTCGATTCATGATTCAACTCTGAGTCGTATACAACCCTGCATGGGAGCCGCTTATCACTCGGCAGAGTGAGCTACCATTTCACCGTTCCGTGCTTCTATCCTCAGGATACTAAAATCCTTCTCCTCCACGCCGCAACCCCTTTCCGTGCTGGACAGGCAACTTTATCTCATGCGGGCTGCTCCCTTGGAGCGGCACCGCTGCTCCTGAGGGAGCGCACCCCGTAGCCGGGTGCAGTGAGTACCTTGGGGCTGGGTGGCCTGTCCTCTGGACGGGCTCAGCCCCGGTGACTCACTGGGGTGCCTGCCCAGACCAATGTCTCCCCCTATATCCTATCATCCTCCCGGCTCTGAAATGGTCCCATTGGACCGAAAGGGCCTAACCCAACAACAAAAAACCCTACCATCTAGTGAACGTCTGGCTGGCCTGCCAGCAGTGCCTATCGGAAGGAACACTTGCCTGTTCGGGTGAACGGCAAAAACGGGCAAAAGAAGGAAAAAGAACGGGCACATACTCCTAGTCGACATGAAAAGAAGGATTGAGGAAATAGATAAAAAAGGCCGAACCCAGCAATAAGCTCATTTAAGTAGTTTATGTTTATATTTTACAGAGAGATCTTTATATTTTGACGCACACAATAAGGTCAACTTCGAGAACAAACGTTTCCCAAGCTGAACAATTTACTTACCAATTATATGTAAATCTTACCTATAAGTTAAGCAATTACGTAATGGTGCGACGTGCGTAGGTATAACTTGTATTATTTGTACTGCAACAATGCAACTATATAATAAAGCTACCCTGCAAAAATTACCGCAAGCCAATCGGTCAAGTGGTAAGCTTCGTAAAAACGTGACCACGGCCGGTCGCTCATTCTCAGAAATTTCCGTTAACCTACGAAAGACTACGCTCGCTTCGCTCGCTCCGTGAATATTCCATCTGTGAATTGTATTTCAACCGTGCTAGTGATGCATTTTTCTCTTCTTCGTTTACAATGCACCAGTTAACATTTCACCTTTGACAAGTCCAGCCTACCATTGCCGTCGTGAAACATATCACATGTCATATCAAAGGTCGGAGGGGCACCGAGCAGATGCAAGTCAAACAGGCAAACGATGAGTGTGCCGGCCGAGGATCGTTACAGTTTGCAGCGGCCCGTTTGCTTATTGTGATTTTTGCCTGCGTTGTGTGCCGCCTCGCCGTAACTAGCGCATATCAAATGCTATATGATATGGGGCGGACATCGATCGTAGCAATCACGCGAGGGATGTAACGAATGTAACGGTGAAATAAGGGTCGCAGTAATCACTGCCATTTGGCAGCCAGAAATGGCCATTGCGGTTCTAATTATCAGTGGTCCTTTGAAGAGACTTGGGGCGTTTGTAACCAGAAATTGGTCATTTTTTTGTGTGTAACATTCTCATGGGGGCGGGCTCATTATAGCTCCGCAATTAGCATGATAAGTTGACACAGGCTTTTTCTCTGAGCTGGCAGGTATCGTCACATTGCGTCTTGAATTTTAAGGCAAACATTTCCCCAACTGTGTCGCGCTCGAGGCAAAGTGCCTACCCTAACATTACATAAGCATTGTAGTTTTGCCTTAAACCTGCAAGCTAACCCCAAATCACGACTCACGCCCGGCAAACATGCCACGAAACACGGCCACAACTTCCTCACGAGTCGGGGGCGGCCCGAGTGCATTTTTCATGCCACCCTGTTGCCCTCCGTGATCTCGCGCCACCCTCGCTGGCCGTGTTGCGATACGCGGCCAATTTAATGAGTTAATTGGCGGCCGTCGGTCACCTGACGCCTCGGGCCTCGGGCGACCTGCTGCCCTCAGTCGCTCAATAATGTAGCGTCGATAGCCGCTATCAGTCGACGGCGGAGACAGAGCAGCTGGTTTGGCCCTCGCCGCCCGCACACGACAGCCCGGTGTCAGCAGAGGCCCGACGAGGGGCCGACGGGCGCGCCGACAGCGGCTCGAGGACCTGAGGCTCCGGCGAGACCGACCGATCGGCCAGCCGCCTGAGGCGGTCAACTGTTGGTAGAGCCCCGGGACAGAGCGGAGGGGAAGAGGCGGGGAGGGACGGTTCCGGCGCCGATCATCACCCAGCCCGGTGCGTGCCAAGGTCCGTTTGAGCGGTGCGCCGTTTTTGACTCGGCTCTGCAGCCGCGTCGTTTGCCAACGGTAATGAGTCGGCGTTGGACCAACCCCTGGGCCATTACCGGACGGGCGGGCCGTTTTGATTCATGGACGGGCCGTGGTGGGAACGGGAGCTCCACGGCAGTGTCTGCTAGGAAGGTCCGCAATGATCGCCAGTAACGCATGTCCGTGGAAGCAGCTCCTCTCATTGATGGGAACAGAACTCCTGCATGGGTGGTATTCTGTTCTGTTCTGTTCTGTGGGCTGAACGTCCGACACGGACAATTTGAAAATTGCGGGGATGAATTGCATTGACAACTAGATCTTTATACAGGTATAGATTTGACAGCTACATAGATGAAAGATTGCTATAAGTGAGCGCTTGATGGGTCAAATAAATCAGCTTTACCTGTCGCAAGTTCAGATAAGCATATTTTTATGTGCAACATAGCCACCCTGGTGGACGTCTATTTTCAAATGTCATCTTCCACCCACCGGTACTTAGTTTGTCCCTTACAAGCTATTAGCTTTTTTACAGAAGGCCAGTAGCAATGACAGATGACTTTACACAACCGCTTTATAGGAGACAGCCTTGTCAATGACGTTAACAGAAACGTTTGGCTTTTATATAGAGCAAATAACCATACTGGATGAATAATTTAACAGTTGTCATTTTCACGTGAACCTGATCAAAATGTCATTCTATAACTGCACTAAGGCTACAGAGCACTGCAGGAATACAAAAGTCAAAGGAAAATATAAGTTTTTATCTGTGCGCATTTAAACGAACGCCGAGAGGTCCTCAACAAAATTTTATAACTAGAGTCCAGCGAAACCCAGTGCACTCAGTCATTACTATAGCAATATGCACTGAAAACTTGTTTACACCTTTCCTGGGTGTAAACACCCGAGAAGGGTATAGCTGATATTCTGCATTTTTTACCCTCGTCTGAGGTGTAATGTTTACACTCAAATAAAGTGTAACAAGACACTCGCCCGGGGCGTTGACTTTGCACGTTTACACTCTCCAGGCGGATGAAAGCGGCGGGTACACTCGTGATTGACCTTTTACTGTAGTGTTACACCTAGAGCAGAGCACGCCTTCCGAGTGTATATATCGATTCGATTTCGGGTGTTGTTGATTCCAGATCCCCTTCCCCTTAATTTCCTCCCCCTTTCCCCTGCACCGGTCACGCTCACGCTCTTTACGAAGAATAAACACCAGTATAATGTCAGAATATTTTAACGTTTATTGGACGTTGATCCGTGCAACAAGTACATGAAACGGCGAGTCCCCTGCAGATATGAACCGGGGCTAGGCGTTCGAGTCCAGCGCCTGCGAGCGCGCTCGAAGGAGATAGCGATGTTCGTGATGTACAGCTCGTCCTGCATGTTCGCCATTTTGTTTGGAATTCGGCTATCTTCCCCTTTCGACCCAAAGTGCACGCCATCTGCGATGGTGGACGGTCCGTTCGTTGTCGCGGGGTCAAAAACGACCTGCTCCTCACGCATCTCGAGTAGAAGGTGTTCGAGTTCCTTCTCTGAAACACACGTGGGAAGCGAAATGACTCATACTAGGGCGCTGCCAGAAACTTTAACCCGCGCCCGGGTGGGCCTCTCAGCCAACTTCGCCATGGGGGGAGGGGGGCACACCAGGTTAACTAAGAAAGTATTAGCTAAGACGCAGACCAAAGCAACAGATAGCTCGTTATAGATCTTTCAGAATCATTCAGGTCATTTTTTGATCAGGTCATTGCTGAGGTCACTGGAGGTCTCCAAAGGTAAAAATTTGACGAAGTTCTAGTATTAAACAAGGATGAAACAAAAACCAATAATCCTAGTGCCATAAATATCATCTGCAAGAGAAGCAGAGCAGAGCCAGCACCACGGCGCGCCTCATTTTTCCCATCCCTGCATTACAAATTAGCTTTGGAAATCACGCACGTCCTAATTTTTCGAGAAAAAGTATAATCTTGAAAATGCTATCAACTACTTACCCGTTCTGGAGCAGGTGGGCCTTCCTCAATGCTCAATAGTCACACCAGCTCAGAGCTCAGCACACTAACAACCACGTTCGTTGAAGCACAATGGCGCACTGAAAGCCGCGTGGGTGCGCGAGCGGCGTCACGCGCATGCGCCTTTGCCGTCCGGTACATTACACTTCAGAGCAGTGTTGAGCCAAGACAAAAATGCGGCAATCGCAGATCAAGGATCCTTTGTCAATAACACAGCACACATGAAGCGCGATCATCTACACTACAGGAAGGTGTTATTCGTAAATGAACAAAAGCTAGGTGTTTAAGTTCAGAATTGCACCTCCATAAGGTGTTGTATGGGTGTGATTTGCACACCAACGAGGTGTAATTTCGCTTTGATCAGTTTCTAAGCGTAATTGCCGTGTTATAGACCTGCGTATAGTGCTCAGTCTGCTATTTACACCTTTAGGTGGTGTTAATACGGCGAAGTGAGTGTAAAAATGCTTTCATTGTGTATTATAGCAAGGTTCTGCAGTGAGTGTTAAGTTCATACCTATATGAATACTTTGCTTGGTATTCATATATGCTTAGTATTCCTACTTTGCTAATACTTTGCTCAACGATGACATCAACTGATAATCCATGATGCTTTTATCTCTTATGGTTACGGACATGTCAGATGATGTAAGAGTAGCCAACAAGAAAACTTTAAAATAAATACTTAAAGATAAAGCACGTTAGATAAAATATGGCTGTTAAAACGCTGAGCCGGCTTATGATAAATCATACATAAATAGGTAACTTTATCAATGTGTTCAAACAACGCGAATTTATTAGATAATGTCGATATCTTAGATATTAGATAATTGGATAATTAGATATTTAGAATTATTGGATTATAATGTCTGTTGTTTTCACCAGACATGTCCATGGACCTATGATCTCAGCGGATGTCAAAACAAACAGCAAGTTAGGATCTATGATCCCATCGGATCCGGCGTTAAAAAAATATTGGATCTATGATCTCATACGACCTGACAATAAACCAAAAACATGGATCTATGATCTGAGTGGATCCCACCATACACAACATTTGAAACCATGTCTTAAAGGGTTTCTAGTCAATAAGTGCCAAAAAATTATGAATTATGGCGTGCAATCACATACAATCGCTAAAAAGAACGTTTGTGGGTTGAAAAAAGTGTTTTGGGGGATTCCTGTGTTGACAAAAAAGTGAGGATTTATGATCTCACTGGATAAATGAGACTCGGGTCTGTGATCCCTACGGATCTCTCGATAAATTAGAGAGCTGGATCTATGATCCTGTCTGATCCGAGATCAGGATCCGTGGGATCAGATCCCAGAACCATTTTTTCGGATCCATGCACATATTATTTGGTTTTCACTATCATTAGACTAAAAAATGTTGCACACGCCACACACCCTCAAGAATGCTCGTACACCTATACAATGGTTGATGCATGCTTTTTATGGCACTTCTAAACGGGTACTGGATGACGGCTCACATTCCATCTTTTTTGTTAATTCATCGCCATCTAAGCACAACAGGTAATCTGTTTTAGAGTTGGTATCAGTTTTTTTCTGCGATTGAACCAATCAACTGCTTGAAATATATTATTGAAAAACATTGGTGCAGTGTTGATAATACACTCAAAAACGATAAAATAATACTTTCTAGCTAAAATAATAGTTCTGATAGACCCATCTCTCTAATCAGCAAGTTTGTAAAAAGCTGATATAATTCGCCCAAAGTTGGTCACATTCCATTTCAGAGCCTTAGCGTGCGGTCCAACCCAAGCCTGATGAGTGGCCAGTCTGTATTCCGTGTGAAGTGTAAATTTAATTGCGTTCTAATGACGGTTTACCCCAAACTTAGCCCCTGCCTGTTACCACGAATCTCGGCAAACACGATAGGTCGATTTTTCTATCGGAAGATCCAATGCGAGATTCTATCGCGTCCGCCACCATCCGGCGTGAGGCACGCGCGGCTCGACTTTGTCCCCGTGCGTGTTACCCCGGGGCCGGCTGCGGCGGCGGATCGGCGCGCGGGCGGCGGCAGGTGGCCGCAGTCCGGGCCGCCGCCAGGATGCGGGTTTATTAGAGAGGGTTCATCAATTCGTAATGAGCTGTCGCCGGCGACGACTGCGATTGGCCAGCAGTGCGGCGGCGGCCAATGAGGGACCGGAGGCAAAAAATGGAGCCGGCAGATGGGCTGTGAGGTCGGCGCCTCGAGCGGGGTCAGATCACAACCGGTTTGTTCGCGACCCCGGACCGCCTCAGGGCACACTCGGAGCTCACGACCCCGACATGACCAAACAGCCACAGCAGGCGCCGTGTCGGGCGGCCTGTATGTTCGCCGGAGGTCTCGGCACCAGCGGCACCACTGGTGTCGGCGCTGGTGCCGGTGTTGGTGCCGGCAGTGTCCCTAGTGCAGTCCGGGAGAACCCATCGTCCTCCAGCTGCTGGGGTGGTGCCGGCGGAGGTGACGGCGGTGTTACCCTTCCCGTCGAGCCGCCCGTCCGAGAGAGGAAGCTTCTGAGGACGTGTCGTCGTCGAGTGGGAGGACCCGTCTCCAAACACACCGGGCAGAAGGAGAAGCCGGTTCATCTGGTTCAGAGGAGGAACGCGCGAGAGCGGCGCCGAGTGCAGGCGGTCAACGTGGCCTTCAGCAGGCTTAGCAAGGTGGTGCCCCTGGAGACCAGGTAAGTTTGACAGCCTGGCAGGTATGGGCGAGCTCTGCAGTTGGTGATGGGAAGGATCGCGGTTAGCTAGCATATAACAGGCCCCAGTCATAGCTGCCGAGAGGTTAGCAGAAGCGCTAGGGAGTGGCGCATGCTATTATACATATAACGATTATATATCTGCCTTCATGCGTTCTCGCAATTATCAATCCATTTCATTAAAAAAATCCTTTGGAGCTAGCCATTCCTTGACAGAGAGGTGAAATCGGCTCCACCCAAATCGCTCAGTTCCGAGACAGATGTACACATTTCAATTTGTGTCATGACTGTGGTGATGGTAATTATGGCACTTGTCAGAAAAGGTGGTGGTATTTGACTAAAAACGCCAACTTAAAAATGGCATACAAAATAATGGCACTCAACGCAGCCGATGAATTTCTAGTAGTAAAAGGCATAGAAATTAGAAACCTCGTTTGCTACTAAGGCCCTTTTTGACTTTACTCAATACTCATCCCGCCTGAAGCACTTCTAGGTCGAGGAAAATGCAGCTTTAATTGGCAGATATTTGTATTTCAGCAGTACAGCTGATGGCAGATGAGAAACGGTCCAGCATGCTGAAGTGCTATCCAATAATTTTGAATATTGGTCTTTTCTTCCTACACAGGATTAAAATAACTGCATAGGGTCATAACGCCTCATCTGATATGTCCTAATCTATGTAGTTACAGTCGGCCGGTGACCGCGGGCGGGTCAGGACGCGTGCGCGCTGCTCCGCTGAGCTGCACCCACGGAGAGTGTGCGCGCTCCACGAGCTCGTGTGTTGTGCCGGTGACTTTTTTCATTGGTTTGAAGGTGATCATATGATCGTGTGAGCTGGAAGCAAACGTGGAGCCTGCGACGGTTGCGCTTTCGTTTTGTCGACACGTTGCAGACTCGTGCGCCCGTCATGCCGCGCCGAGTAGCGTCTCAGTGCGCGGGTGAGGACAGCGACAGTGCAGCAGGTGATCATCGGTCGGACATCAGCTGCGATCAACGGTCCGTTAGTGAGCTGGTCCGTAACTATAGCGATCCTCTCAGTGAAGGACAGAAGCGGGACCGATCGGAGTCTGGCGACGCTGTGCCCGCCGGCAAGCGCGGGGCCAAGGAGAGGAGCGGCGAGCCTGGCCGCAGTCCGTTGACTCCCGGTGGTAACAGAGGATTCAAGGAGCAACTTGAGGTCGCCATCGACGGGCTGGAGGAACGGCTAATGGCTGCTTTCTCCAGGGAGCTCCACGATTTCCGCTCGTCACTGACGGCAGAGATCGAGAAACTCAACGATCGTGTAAAGGATCTCGAGCAACACGTGGAGGAGAGAGACGGCATCATCGACCAGCTGAGCGAGGAGCTCCGCCAGTCTCGCTCTGAGGTATCGGCGCTGGAAGCCCGGGTAGAGGAGGCTGAGATCAACTCGAGACTCCCCTGCCTCATCCTGTCCGGCGCCGCCATGGCGCCCCGCCGCACGCCCCGCCTGGAGCCGCCCCTGCCGAACCAGACAGCGCCTGCGGCGGTCGACCCTCGGCCGATCGCGCCAGCTGACACGGGTCGGGATCCTCCGACCGTGACGTCGCAGTCAGCTGATCGCCCGAACAGCAGCGGACCGGATCAGTCGGCAGGCCGCGGCGGCCGGGAGCGGGTTGCGGGGCGGGCCGGCGAGTGGGAGGAGCGAGAGGATATCAACGCCCTCGTCATCAGCACCTTGAACCAGTGCCTGCCGGGACTCGGACTCGCCGCTAACGACATCGACCGCGCCCATCGCCTGCCAGGTCCGAACAACAGAGTGATTGTTCGCTTCGTGCGGTCGGGTGAAGGCAGCGCCCGCGACCGGGTGATGGCTCGACGCATGGAGCTGCGCGGCAGGGAGCTCTTCATCAACGAGTCGCTGACCAAACTCCGAAGCCGGATCTTCAGGTCCCTGCTGGCCGCCAAGCGGGAACGGAGGATCTACACGGTGTACTCCCGTGGTGGCCACGTTTTCTTCAAAGAGCAGCAGCACGGCGTGGGGAAGAGGGTCGACACACTCGAGCGTGTGCGCGAGCTCGGTTTCGGCGTGCTCGAGCGCTAGAGCACTACTAGCGGCTGCAGCCTTCCACCGGTGCCCAGGTGACGTGCCGCTATGCAGTTGTCTGACATCTTTTCAGCTATAATGTTAGATTGTTAGTTTGTTAGGTAAACAATTTTACAGCTCGCGGTTGTGTTACAGTAACCATTTTAGAGATGTTTAGTTTTTTTTTTTTCAAAGTGCGCGAGCTTAAAATAATGTAACGGGTTTCAGCTAGTACGGTCTTCTACTAGTGCTGAATAACCATAGAACTGACACTTTAAAATTTCCTTGCATTTCCTTGCATCATCGGTGGATGCTAAGTCATTTTCTGCTGTCGCGGGCTCCGCGTTTGCTGTTTGCGTTTGCTGTGTTCTCTTGTTGTTTTTAGGTTATTTTAATCGCGGTTTATATTATGTTGTTTCCATTGTTTTGTTTCTATTATAGTTTATCATTGTTAAAACCCCCGTTTGCTTTGGTACAATTGATGACTCTCAAGCTACAGGCCTGGTGTTTTGCTCTCCCAAATAATTCATGTGTTCCCAGAGTTTGTTTGTTGAGCCGTGATCCCGTGGTGCTGCTGGCGGCGCCCGTGGCGCGGCCGGCTACGGTACTCGTCTCGGCTTCGCGGCGGGCGGCGGCGGCGGTGGTGGTGGCGGCGGCGGCGCAGGAATCCCCAATCGCAATCCACTTACGACCATCGCGGCTGCCGACGTCGTCCCTGGCCGGCGGTGCTCGCTGCTGTTCGTCTCCTCTACATTCCGACCGAACCTTGGTAAATCAACGTAAAATGCGCACTTGCTATCAGATTTATCTCAGCACATTTCAAACACCTTCTAAGAGAAAATGGCAAAAATAGAAATAATTTCAAGTAACGTTAGAGGCCTAGGTTCTCAGCACAAGCGTAGGGATGTTATGCATTACTTAAGGAACCTGAAATGCGACATAATATTACTTCAAGATACACACTTAACACCTGAGAAAATTCCCTCGTTTAATAACCTATGGAATGGAAAAGCATACCATTCCTGCTTTAGGTATAACAGCAGAGGTACTTCAATACTTATTAGCAAGAATCTCCAGCATGAAATTGTAAGCAAGCATGTAGACAGTAAGGGAAATTATATATTAATAGAATGTAAAATTGGCACGGATATATACCTCTTTTGTAGCATATATGGGCCAAATCGTGACGAACCGGATTTTTACGAACGTATTGGCAAAATTCTGGATAGTGTTAACTGTGATCACATGGTTGTGGGGGGAGATTTCAATTTCATTATAAATACAGACATTGACTGTTTTGGTTATGCACAAGAACATAACGCAAAAGCTCGTGAAAAGTTTCTCTCTATTTGCAACCAACATAATCTGGTTGATGCATGGCGAAGTCAGAATCCCACGGAGAGACGATATACTTGGTTCGGACCAGCTCATGCTAAGGGCGCTAGGTTGGACATGTTTTTCGTTAGTCAGCACTTATTAGCTTTGTGTCACGACAGTCAAATTACTTCTGGTTACCGAACTGATCATAACAACATATCTTTACGTTTGCTCATGGGTGAGTCACGAGGACCAGGATTATGGAAATTTAATGATTCTCTCCTGAGTGATGAAGGCTACATCGAAACAGTAGAGCATTGTATCAACAGAACTGTAGAAGAATATTCGCTGCCTGTTTATGCTCAAGAGTTTATTTCAGATACATGTAATTACAAAGATATACAGTTCAAGATAGGAGATGATCTGTTCTACGAAACACTACTTGTTATGCTCAGGGGTGAAACCATAAGATATTCCAAAGCAAAGGCGAAGCGTAATAGAGAAAAGGAAAAAGAACTCGTTTCAAAAATAGCGCTCGCAAATTCTCGGTTAGTAGTAGAAAGATCAGAGGAAAATGTTGCTACAGTAAATTTATATAAAGAACAGCTTGAAGAACACAGAAAGCCAATCATCAACGGTCTTATTGTTCGGTCAAGAGCTAAATGGTACGAGGAGGGAGAAAAATCTTCTAAATACTTTCTCGGCCTCGAAAAAAGGAATGCTATTAAAAAGACGCCAACAGCCCTTAATATTAACGGACAGAAGGTCGCTAAAAGTTCCTTAATCCTTGGTGAATTTACAAAACACCTAGCTAGTAAATATAATAAGGGTCATATCATGTCATCCTCAACAGAAGACTACATCAAGTCTAACACCACAAGTTCTTTAACAACGCATGAACGTTCTGTCCTAGACGAGCCTATAACATTCGAAGAACTAACGACTGCGGTGCAGAAAATGAAAAAAGGGAAATCTCCAGGATCTAACGGATATACCGCATGTTTTTTCAGACGTTTTTGGGAGAAATTGGGACCCTTCCTTCATAGAGCATTTACTTCATCCTTTGAACATGGAAAGATGCTTCTAACACACCGAGAGGGTATAATAACCATGATCCCAAAAGCAGGAAAATCACTCGATAGCATAAAAGGTTGGCGACCAATAACTTTGCTAAATGTAGATTTCAAAATAATATCAGCCGCTATATCATCCAGACTTCAAAATGTTATTGATAAACTAATAGACCCATGCCAGACAGCATATATTAAAGGCCGGTATATTGGTGAGAACACGCGTCTTGTGTACGATACAATAAGTAATTTGATACAAAACCAAAGTTCAGGACTGATTATGTCTGTCGATTTTGAGGCAGCCTTTGATTCATTATCCTGGTGCTTCTTGGCCAGAACGTTGGAAAAGTATAACTTTGGTCCGGTCTTCCGTAAAACAATCGAGCTGGTATATCTAAATAACCAAAATTTTTCGCGAATTTTGTTAAATGGTTACCTAGGAGAAAAAATTAAGTTGAACTGTGGGATACGACAGGGTGACCCAGCATCAGGCTATTTATTTAACCTTGCAGTCAACATATTGGCAACGAAAATAAAAGAAGCCAAGGAATTTAAAGGTATAAAAGCCATTGACAATTTAGACGTTAGGATATCGCAATACGCCGATGATACACTGCTGTTCTTAGAAAACAAAAATTGCCTGAAAGGAGCTCTTGAAGAATTAGGAAAATTTTCAGAGGCCTCTGGACTAAATTTAAACATTGAAAAGTCGACATGTCTTCCGGTCGGTTTTTCCCCGTCTAGTGAAGAGGAAAATGATTTTGGTATCAAGTGGGTTAAGGAAATGAAAATACTAGGCATTATCTTTAACAATATGAACAAGAATGTAACAAAAATTAACTTTGAGCCTAAACTTTTACAAATTCAAAAAGAAATAGCACAGTGGCGCAGAAGGAATTTGACGGTTCTAGGACGAATAGCCGTGGTTAAGTCATTACTCATCTCACAACTAGTACATTTGTTCACAGCTCTGCCGAATCCCTCACAGAATGAACTGAAACGCCTTAACACATTGTTGTACTCATTTGTATGGGCAGGCAAACGCGACCCAGTCAAACGTGCTAAGTTGATTCAAAAATATCACAATGGAGGATTAGCCATGGTTGATATCGAAGCATTTATGAAAAGCATTAAGCTGACGTGGCTCAAAAGACTAATGAAAGCGCAAGCTCCGTGGGCAGCTTTTTCCAAATTGGAATTGCCACATATTCAAGACATCCTATGTTACGGAAGCAAACGTCTGGGAAAAATAACGGCTAAAATTAGTAACCGTTTTTGGAAAGATGTATTAAACGCATTTACGTCTTTCAGTCAGCAATACCAACCAGAAGAAACACAGATCCTCTCTGAAAGCATATGGTTCTCAGACTACACGAAATTTAAATCATCCATCGTAAAAAGTTGGCATTCAAAAGGGTTGCGTTTCATCATTGACCTATTTAACGAAGAAACAGGAAAGTTGCACTCGAAAGACAGCTTACAAACAGCATATAATATAAACATGACATTTATTTGCTATGAAGGCTTAATGAGAAGCTTACCAGACTCCGTTAAAGCAATGTCAATACCTAAAAAATGTCAACCAACAATGCCATCGCGAATGAACCTAGTTATGAATCATCCTCATTTTTCACGTTTTGCCTACGATATATTCATACAATTTAGACAGAAGGAACTATATGAAACCAATGCGCGACAAAAACAGAAATGGATAAGAGACCTAGGATGCTTCGAAGCAAATAGTTTTATTGAAGTACTCAAAGCAACAAAGTCAGCATATGTTAGAATGTTTCAATTTAAGCTCATTAACAGAATCTTAGCAACGAATAGATATTTACAAATGATGGATATAACAGATAGCGAATATTGTACATTCTGCAAGGTCCAGCCTGAAACGCTTGCCCATTTATTCTGGTACTGCCCTATAACGAAAGATTTCATAACCAAAATCAAAACGGAAATTCTGCAGAAATATGGTATAAATATAAACGTAGGTTTAAATACATGGTTTTTCCCTACGAATTTGAGTGCAGAGGAGACGTGTATAATTACACTGGCAAAGTTGGTAATTTATCAAGCACGCTACAAAGAAAACCGACCAACTATTGTGCATTTAAAATACAGCATAAAACAACAAGTTGAGATAGAGGAGAGTATAGCCAGGTTAACAGGAAAACAAGAGAGTTTTGAGAAGAAATGGGAGAAATTGAAAAATATTACCATATAAGATAAAATGGAAACAAGTGTTATTTTAGGTAACACCTTGGTCCTTCAAGACAAAACTGCACTAGGTATACATTCATACAAGTTATAATAACACAAACATAAACTAGTGTCTAGTGGTGAAACACAATACAGCAAAAAAAAAAAACAGTATACATATAGCAAGCTTAGTAGGATTGCATAGTAAGCTTAAAGTAGAAAGCTAAACATATATAGTAGTACAGATAGTAGTACATACATATATGGAATGGAGTATTCCATATATGTATGTATATGGAATAAATATATATATATACATGAATATATATGTATATATTCATAATAATAGCAAAATACAATACAGTAATACAATAATAAATAAATACAATACAATAACAATAATCACACAAGATATAACTTCAGTATAAAGTAAGTACGCACAGTACGAAAAAGTAACTGTACAGCAAAATGCGCTGACTCGGGCGAAGTAAGTATACGTTAAACAACATACTGAAGATCAGTTTGAATTTTTACATTAGACATAGCAAATAACATGCAGATGAAAACATTCATTTACACTATCACATGTTCATTCGCTCACCAAACAAACATTACCCCAATGGATGGTCAAAAATCTTTTTCCCCATGGAACGCAGCGAGCTCCGTCGGCGCCTGGGGTGGCGTCGGTGGCTAGTGGTCTGTATATATTTAAAGAGACCGTATTAAGGTCTTGATAACGTCGCCGTTGCCGACGCTGCCGTCGCGCCGGCCGCGTTGCCGTCTTGGTGCCTGGGGCCGGCTTCGCCGCGCGCGTCGTTGGCGGCATCGGTATCTATGTTCAGCTGACACTTAATAGCATACCCCGATTGTTAAGACACTAGTCGCGCGACCATTTATGTGTGCAGCCGCTGACCATCTGTGTGGGTAGCCGCTGCGGCCGCTGACCATGTGATCTGGACGGTGCCAAACATCTAAATGTTGAGTGTGGCATGGCATCGGGCCGGACGGCGATGTTTGTCTGTGTTTTTTTTCTTTCGCAGAAGGGATGGGAGAGGAGGGATTGTAAGAGCACGGGGACTAGCTGCTTTTTTGTTTTGATCTGAGTTGCGTGCCTTGCCTTTTTATGAAGGTTTCATGTCTGTGTGAAATAAATGTTTTGAAAAAAAAAAAAAAAAAAAAAAAAATCTATGTAGTTACTTCAAATCACAAGCAGCCATATTAAGGTATAATTTATAATTGAATGACGATATTCTTGTCGGAAGGAAATAAGAGTGTTGCGACACAGTTTCCAGTCTGGAGAATCATCAAAGCAGAACCCAACGGCCTACCTTACCGGTGAACTTTGTTCTAAGCATTTCCTTGTTACAACAACCTATCAAATTATATATAATGTGATAGGTTGTTTCAAGGCTCGGTTACCAAGGAATAACAGTACATAACCATTACAAATTACATATACATTACATTACATCACTCAATGAATGGTTTATAATCGATGTTTGTACTTACCTACCTTGACGGAAGTGGCGTGGTCGTCAGCATCTCAGCACCTTCAGCAACTAAAGCGAAGGCCGTGCCTTATCACACTTGCTTAGCTTTTATCTGAAATATTCTCGCAAATATTCTAGACGAGACTCTTGCAAATAAAATAAAAAAAACTTCAAAAGCGTAAATGCACGTAGCCAATCTCAAATGAATCAAGTCAATACGCTTTTCCCTGCACCGTGAACGCAGATCTTGACGAAAACAGAACGACTCGCACTCTGAACCATCAAACTAATCACTAAGCACAGCCTCAAACCACTGAGGTTACCGGAGTCTCATCTAGCACTGATCTTGATCTTGTCAGCTGTCACCGCAGGCGTCCGCCGGTCACCTGATACGGCTCCAGTCACGTGACCAAGTCTCGAGCCCCAAGGCGTAGAGAAGCGCGAGGCGGTGACACCCGAGCTCGAGAAACAAGCGCTGCTCCTCTGGGTGCTACGAGCTGGGGGGGGGGGGAGGGAGGGAGAAGGGAGTGGGGATTAGGGGACAGAGGGTCGGGTCTGGTTTGGTGGCAGTGACTGGCATAGAATATCGCTCACCCATAACAGACAACGAGACGCGACGGAGAGTCGCGGAAGAGCAATTGCGGGCCGAGGTACGCTGATACTTGAATTGAGAAAGACAACATCCATGCAATCCTACTCTGCTTTTCAGCTCGATGAGCAATCTCAATCTGTCTTCTAGGCCGTTGCACCGATATAGGTGCCGCCTTTTCTTGTCTCCGATACTATCAGAGCAATCTTATGCAGCTACGGGTTACTGTTATGCATGACAGATACATTATGAGGAACACACATTACATATACGAGTACAGGCACACACAAAAAAGGCGGCGGCAGTGCATTCGCTTCCGTTTGTATGCAGTATGCACCTACCTGTATGTATATGTGAAAATATAGATTTTTTTTTAGAAAAAACTATAATAAAGACGGATGAACGGACGCAAAGGAGCATCTGAAATGTATTGACTATACATGACCCATGAATGTCATACTGGATCAGCGCTGAATGTACAGGCAGCCGCTTCATCTGAACTGGCTTAACTAACTAAAAGCATCTTCATCGCCGTGACTTTCTCACTGGAGACCAAATCAGTTGCATCTTTTCCTTGAACTGACGTGAGAGGTTCAAGATTTGCCATTGAAACTGAAATTCGGTACCTACCGTTTCCGTTTCAATATGAAAAATATGATTAATTTGTTTCAAATCCATTTTCAATCACGAACAAAATAAGTGGGATATGTATTTGACTCATAGGTATTTTGCGGTGAAGTTTGCAAAACGTGATAAAATGTCATAAAGCTTTGCGAGTTCGACAACATATAGCTCAATCAATTTTAAGTGTGGACTAGGACCAGGCATGTCTTGTCTCGTCTCAGATCAGGCCTTTCTACCGACTCTGGGCCTTGATTGAAACGAGTTTAATTTCCCTGGTGTTTTTGACAAAGTTTCATCACAACGACGTCGTCGATGTCTCGCTGTCGTTCATCAAAAATGCCAATCAAAACCATCAAAATGTCTCACTGTTGCAGGGGGAAGAGGATCAGCAAGGTGAAAACTCTACACAAGGCCATCGAGTACATTGACCAGCTGCGCAGGCTGCTGGCAGCAGATGACCTTAGCCGAGGTCACGTGACCGGGCCAGCGCCGCTCGAGTCTGGAGGGGACAAGGAGAATGCGTGGTGTGCGCCACTTCAGGTAACTACGAGTACCAGAAGCCGTCGGTAAAGTTGATGGATCTTATACCGTATTGCCCCTTCGCTCCGATATGGCGGACGGCTCACGCCTTACTCAAGGAGTGGTGTCCCTTTTGAATTTAAGACATTTTGTGGAGACCTATCGGTACATAGGTATGTATTGTGATGATCGAGTCGGATTGGTCAAAATTATGCTTTGACATGCCTACTTGGAAAATAGGTACACATATGTTTAACCCGCGCACCGACGGGGGTCTGCGCCAACTTGGAACCCGGGGGGGGGGGGGCGGATGACCCCCCCTGAGATCTCGAGAACGAAGCAAGATAGCTACAAGCGGGTAAACGGCATGGGGTACGCACGGGCAAGGTCTACAATTTTTACCAAGGTAATTTTCAGGTCAGGTCAAAGATGACGTCACAGGGGTCAAAAAGTCAAAATGGTGGCGCTAGACATTGAGAGTTTTTCTCGAATAACTTTCGAATTTATCAAGCTAGGAACAAACTAAGGGCACCATCGTAATCCTCTCGTCAATCCGCATCGAACCATATATGCTGACCTCGAAAGGTCAAGGTTTAAGGTTCAAGGTTGACCTCATGTCACGTGACCTCGAGGTCATCATGTATATCATTCGATGCCCCTTGACGAGCTGAACACAATGAGACCATCTGCGCGGCTGTATCTTGTTCCTGTAAGAGGTTATTGGCAAAAAATTGGTGACCTTTGATGACGTCACATGACCTTACAGCTGCCCAACAGCAAAACAGGCCTCAAGGTATTGAAGGTTGATCGTATATGAAGTCATGTATGGTATATGGGGCCATTCTGACGCGTTTTAGTGGAAAAAACAGGGAGTTGATTTTTCTCCCATCGACATATAAATTGGGGAGGTCGAGAAATTGACCTGACCTTAGGTTAGGTTATCGATATCAAAATTCCGAGATACCATGTGTAAAATTGATAAGAGAATAGTCATACCAAATTTCGCGGCGCTACGCGCCGCGGTTTTCCCGCTATTCGCGAAAAACCTCGGGGGGGGGGCGGATAACCGCCCCCCCCGTCGGTGCGCGGGTTAATGCTTTTGCGGTACCAACACATACAAGCTATGCCATCTCTTGGGCGGAGGTTAACTCTTGCTCTAGAAGCGACGCCGACGTAAGTTGCAGGCTTATATATGTACAGGATGTGCGGCACAGTATGGGTGCAGGCGCATACCACTAACGCCATCTCTTGGCAGCGGGAACAGCTAGTAAGCGACTGGCAAGCCATGCGGGACAGCATACATTCAGGCGCATACTACTAGCGACATCTCTCGGTAGTTGACGTAGTTACATGGGCTCCCCGTTGCATGCGTATGTACGGTGCGCGAGGAACTAGAGTTTAGAGGAGCCAGAAGAAAATAAATCGCTCGTTCTTGAACACTGTGTAGTTATGTGCGTGCTATATTTTCACCTTTTCGTGTCTCACGTCGTTCGCAGGTGTACGCAGACGACTTCTACCAGCCTCCACAGCAGCACGTCTACAACATGCAGTACACCATAATGACCGGGTTCACCCCCGACCAGTAGAGCTGCATCTACCAGCCTCCACAGCAGCACGTCTACAACATGCAGTATACGATAATGACCGGGTTCACCCCGGACCAGTAAAGCTGCATCTACCAGCCTCCACAGCAGACAGCAGCTTGTCTTCATCATGCAGTATACGATAATAACCGGGTTCACTCCGGACCAATAGAGCTGCTTGCGCAATATCCAAGCATTGGTTGGGTACTTCACCGGTACCCAGTTCTGTTCGGCTCGATGACCATGACATTCCGGCCCTGTTTGACCGCCGCTGCCAGCACACGTTGACGTGTCAAATTGGGTTTCCATGGAGACATCAACAAATTCGCATCTCCAACATTACCACGGCACAAAGTATGATGTCAGCTCGCGAAATGTGTTGTCAGCGTCGGTGAAACAGGGGCCCTGTCCCACCGAATCGCTAGCAACCAAATCACCGAGACCGCACAAGAACGAGTCGACTTATGACGTGCCAGATTAAGTGAAAGCGAGTTAAAGATCTTCTGGATAGTCACACATTTTTACGAATGGCCATTGGTCAATCTACAAGTGCGCTTCGCTGCACAGTGCACAGCTTCACCAATGTTGAGTATTTCTGTGCTATTTGAATCCGTCCATGTCAGCCGTCCCGAGATCCCGTTCAAACACGCGTCAGATTCATGAATTTGACAAACGCAGCCTAGCGGTATGTTAGGCTATGCGGTATGGTATGCTAGCGGTATTATACAGCATACGCGGTATGCCTCATGCAAGCTATAGTGAGCTTTGTCTAGTCAGTGCCAGTAAGTTGCTAAGGTGTCTATCAATATAATACTATAGATAAATAGGCTTGCTGTAGTGTGTGACGGTGCTGGTAAAAGGAAAAGGTAGTTGCCAGTTGGTGTAAGACTAAGATGCTTGAGGTGCCATCTGCTGCTGCATAGTGTGACTTGGAATTCTGTGTGGGGAGTTGTGAAACAAGCAGGTAGCCTTAGAATGCAACTTTTCCGTCCAAAGATCATGCAACTGCAAAGCAAGCTGTAAAATATAGTTACTTGTTTCAAAGGTGAGCGTTTACATAGAAGCGGGTGCTGTGTACTTGTGTTAGACACTTAGATGCATTGGTATACCGTCAAATAAAAATAAAAATGTGATAAGATTGAAATAAACCCTAACAGCGCTTTCTTTACCGAAGTCTGATACGACGCTTGTGTAGACGTTTACATTGTAGACACTTCGGTTAACGCACTTCCGCATTGCTATCAACAGCTTCTGATCGCCATAGGCGGTTTGGACGGATCTCCAGTAATGAGCAACAAAAAAACAGGGTTGAAGTGTGACTAGTGCAAGCAATATATTAAGTAGACTGGCAGAACAAGTCGTCCCTCATGATCGTCACAATTCCCAACACGCACGGATTATGGAGCTGCCGGCAGCCCCACAAACAACACAAAAATAACATCGTATAGACACATATTCAACATAACGTACAGATTTCCTCGTTCGTCACACACAAACTTAAACAATTTCTGATAGATTCGAGTTCATCCGTACAATTTGCTCGCTGATTGTAGGGATCAGCGAGTCCATACCTTCTATTTAGCTTAGTAACTGAGCGTTCAAGGGCAGCAAACAGCACGTGTGAGCATAAACTAGGCAGTGGGCAGCCAACCCAAACACTAAGGCCGATATATTATGACAAGCGAGTGACAGATTAACGAATCAGGCGTGTCAAACAACTAACATTATCCCTGAAATGGACGTTTACGGAGGCTGGCCGGGCGGAAAAGTCGAGATTGTGTCAGATTCTCATCACCCTTTTAGAGCGTGCTGCGAGTGGCATGGTGATAGTTGGCGCCAGGACACAAAAGGAGGGACACCCTTGAAGGACACTACAGACCTCATGGGACACTCCATCCCCTTTTCCCATGCGTCTACGCTCATTATCCTACGTCATAGCACTCATCAGTATGCACTAAAACGGTAATGAGATAGGACTGAAGTCGAGTCAAAGTTGGAGAGTTAGCACGAGGATGCAGAAAAGCCTCAGATACATCGCACACTCGTCAAGAAATACATGTAGCTAGCATTGCACGTTATTGCCGCCAACATACATCAGGACTATGCTATCCGCTATCTAGCTACAAGCTACAAACCACTCGTCTGGGCTACAGGCGCTAAGCACACCGCCAGAAAATGATGTGCCAAAGTACCTACTTGTAAGACAACTATGGTATCGCTCCAGTTTCCCGCTCAGGCGTCCTTCGAGCTACCTACGAGTCCAGTTCGTAACACGACAGCATGCAAATATATGGCACACAACCTGTGCGAAACCCTACTGAGTTCTATACAATTCATTACGGAGCCATTTTAATTTTTACAGGAGCCATTTGAATTTGTCATGCATGCTCAAATTTGCTGCACGCATAACGCCGTTAAATGGTGAAGGAGAAAAAAACTGCACGTAACTTTACCACTGATCGATGGAAACACTGAATCAGAATTTTAGCATCAAATCATCTCTAGTACAAGTACAGCCAGTGTCCCTCTTCTTTCAACTTCTAAGTCAAATGTTGCGATACCTGTCGCAATTCGATCAGAGCATTATCGACCAGCGACAATGTTGAACAATTATCTTCCGTGGTACAAATTTCCATTAACACCCCAGTTTCCAAATTTCACTTTACCAACATTGGTCACTTCAAAACAGCTAATGTAAAAACACCGCACGGCCAAAGCCAGACGGTTTGATTATCCTGAGAGCAAGCTGTTAAATGTTCTCGCGAAATTGAATCAGACACATTGCGCACCAGCCTGAGGCCAGCTCAGGAGCTGAGAAAGGGCGGTGAGCGATCGAGGACGGTAGAGATTAGGAGCAAACACCAATGCCGGCTGACGGCCGTGCAGGCGACCGACACTCAGGCACGAGTGAATCCGGTGAATAGAATCAGTGATTAATGCGGATCAGGCGCTGCCATGACACTTAGAAATATACTGTGCTGCCCCCAGACATGATCGAATGTTCTCAGTCAACTGCCAAGATGACAGCGTTGGTCCTCATTTGACAGAAGCCGAGGAATGGCAGATGAAATGCTTAAGATTAAGAGCTGCATTACGTATTGGATAATCCCTCCTCCAATTTTAATCCTTCACAACCCTCTCCAATCCTTCCTTTGCATAGCACCACTAAACCTGGTTATCTTCTAGGAAATTCACCTAAATTTGATCTACCATATCATTAATACTCAACAGTCTAAGACTGTTCCAGCTCTATTCCTCAATTCCAAGGATCAAATAGCACCTATCTGGGCCCACTCTGTGCGTACTGACCCATCGACGGCTCATCTACGTTTCGCCGTTGCTCTACTAGTCCTCGCAAGACGTAACGTTTCCCTTTCCATCCGCGGCAGCTCAAATCACTACGTCCGATACTAAAACAAGATAACAACTCAGTACCGACAGCCGCAGCTGCCGTACCGGGGTGCGCACCGCACATCTAGTTAATTCGTTGTGAGAGTTACACAGTCTGATCGGCTCACCGGGTCTACGTCAAAACAGCTAGTGACATTTGAGCTAGTGACTTTTGAGCTAGTACAAATCAGCTAGTGCCTCAGAACAGCTAGCGACAAAATCGCTAGCGTCAAAATAGCTAGTGAAACAAAATAGCTAGTGCTTCAAAACAGCTAGTGCTATAATCGCTAGCGTCAAAATAGCTAGTGAAGCAAAATAGCTAGTGCCTACGAAGTGCGAGCAGCTAGTGTGATTTCTTTCCCGACGGGTCCTTTAAGAAGATTGTGACATGAACATTGGCATTGAGGTGCAGGCCATGACGCCAAAATGCAAGAACATTTCTTTAAGGCTTCAAAGGAAAAGAAGGAGGCTCGAAGGCTATGCACCAGAACCGGTTACTAGAGCAGGAATCCAAACGCCAGAAAAAATGGAATTGTTAGGCTAGGAGAAGCAGTTGTAAGTAGTTACGACCTAATGACCGAATCATACTTTTGCGACCGATCAGATGCTTGACGAATTGGTGAAGAAGAATGCATGGATGCTCGAAGGTACTTTCAAAATCTGACCAGTAACTTTCAGTTTCAGTCAAACAAATATGCAAGATTAACGTGGTTGTACGCGGTGCTTTAGAGGGGCGCAAGTGGTCTCAGAGGGGCGCCGTACGTTTACGTCTTCTGGGAAAAACCTTTGGCAACATACAGGGTGTTTCACTAAAAGTGTCAAAAAGTAAAAGGTCATAATGCACATAAGAACAATGTTTTCTAAGGAAATTTGCATATCATTTCATCCGCAATTGTTGGACATTTGAATATATAACAGCGATATCACCGTCACTCAAACCTATTCCACATATCCGCCCCTTCTTTTGATGCACCGTTTCGGCACGTGTCCGGAGGTGCCTCACAGCCCGTTTTCATATTCAGCGTCCAGACTGTCGGCAAAGCCTTGAATTGTGCTCTTCAGCTCCCAAAGTGATGAGACTTGAGTCTTCCTCAGCTCTGCGAGAGCTACTGAGTCACTGACCAGAACCAGAAGTCTAGCGGTGACAGATCGTGGCTTTGCGCTGGCCATGGGGGCGGGCGGTGAGGCAGCTGATTATTTGGCCCAGGAACTTCGGGTCCAGCCAGTTCCTGGTGGCTACAACCGTCACAGTGGTTGTTTTTGATAACTTGTAAGGCCTTGGCTATTTCTGATGTTGAAATTAGCTTCTTGTTATCTTCAAAGGCCCTCAAAAAGACCCTGACCTTTCAAACGGTTTCCGCCGAGAGGTGGGGGCGACCCCGCCTTTTTTGGACTGGAACTGGCATTGAAGGAGCCCTTTTAAACCTCTTAAGAAGTCCTTTTAAACTTTTATAATCTGGAACGTAGCGAGGTGAGAGAGTAAAACGTTTCCTGAAAAGTCGGCATACGGTTTCAATGTTTCTGATGGCACCAAATGTAAGTGTAACTCACTCCTCCTGTTGAGGTGTAAATAGACTGTTCTTGATCTGTATAAGAAAAAAAAAACGACTAGTAACTTTGGCCTCCTGCCCTCGCTCCGTATGGGTGTAAAATACATCTTAAATGGACAAAGCATAAATGTCCAAAAATTTGCAGCAGAGCCACGTGCGCAACCACGTGATTTGCACATTTTATATATCTTTAATAAGCATTTACTTTTTGACATTTTTAGTGAAACACCCTGTAGGTACCGAAAATCTACGAAACTAAGTCATTTACGACAACGCACGTGTATAACGTGTATAACGCAACGTGTATAATTGACATTGAATTTGGCCAACCTAGAGCCCTCCGCGATGTCTTTCCTACCATCTCAGTAGAGGGATTTTTTTTTTCATTTGACTCAAGCTATTCTGCCACTAGCTATTTTGATCCACTAGCTATTTTGCTTCACTAGCTATTTCGACTCTACCGATTTTGTCACTAGCTGTTTTGAAGCACTAGCTATTTTGCTTCACCAGGTATTTTGACGCTAGCGATTTTGTCACTAGCTGTTTTGAGGCACTAGCTGTTTTGCACTAGCTGAAAAGTCACTAGCTCAAATGTCACTAGCTATTCTGACGTGCACCCGGCTCACCGACGGTGGTGACACCTAGCGGCAGCCGAGCGCGGGCCGTCGGCCGGCGATGTGACCTCGCAGGTAGATGTCGTCGTACAGGTGACCACTGAGGACGTCATCCACAGCGGCGGCGTGGCGCACGTTGCGGATGAACTCGCGTTTGGACATTTTGTTTTTGACGTGTGGTGATGTGAGGTCGACGGAGAGCATGATGAGCGAAAAACACAGGATGTATACTGTGTCTGTGGGCAGAGAGGAGGGCACAGAGTTTAGAGTGAAAAACGCAAAACATGCACATATTCTGCGGAAGAGAAATGGAGCGGCGAAGGGTGGGAAGGACGGATGGGAATACTCGGAGCTAAGCCGTAATCGCCACACCATATGTGGAAGGCTTTTGATGTCAATACATACATACATACATACATACCTGGGAGGGGAGGGAAGCTATGGGAGAAGAAGAGGCAGCAAGGGATCTGAAAAGAGATGCGATAGTGGGAAAGACTTCAAAACAAAAGCTAATAGTTCTCTTCGTAGGACATAAACACCTTTTTCAATATGCATTAAGACTAACGCATATTCTGTAAAAGCACCGCTCTTCACACAAGACAAGTTCCGCACTGACCTGTCGACAGTCCGAGCTGAGGGTTTCCCTGGCAGAACTTCACGGAGAACTTGTCGAGCATGGTCTGCAGGTAGTTGCCGCGGTCCTCGGGCGGCTGCACCTTGCTGAACAGCTTCCTGAGCGCAGCCGGAAGGAACTGGTCGCGGTAGTTCTGCAGGTCCATCACCAACGTCATCACGTCTCGCCTGTGGGGAGAACGGCAGACAGGGGTTTTAGACAGATACTCTACAAAGGACGGGCAGACGATACTCCGGGCAGGTCGGATTGGCGGGAGCGTAGATGGAAGGGAGGGGTTAGCAGGGAACAGTAGACTAAATTTGTCAGGCCGACCGACGTCAGACAGGCGGAAGGAATCAGCAAACAAACTGGGACGCAAGCGTCAAACGATCACTGGTGAAAATCAAGATTATTCTGTGTCATAATTTCTCTGATCCTTCACGAACAAAAGAGCGACGCATGAATTTTCGTCCTTACCTAATACACGATTTAAATAAATTTTCGTAAAATTAAGACGAGAATAAGAAAAAGTGTACCCGGGACAAACTATTGGCCCGTTCTATCCCCACACGCATATCGGTTCTACGTGTCACCGTATCATCCCCCTGCACCGGCGACTGACCGCTGGTCCAGGTATCGCCGCATCTGCTGCGGGTTCATCTGGCTGCTGCTGTGTAGAAACATGGCGATCTCGGCCGGGTCGTCATCGACCAGACCGCGGCTGATGAAATACTGCATTCCCTGCGGAAAGGTGTTGATAAAGCGGTGTGAGAGGCGTGGCAGGGACCGTTTACGCCGATCAGACGAACAGCGGATTGACTTTCCTGATTTGCCTACGGTTACCTACCTGAAATGCATCAGCCACAAATTTGAGTTCGGCTAAGCAAAAAATGCACCTGTTTGCAGAATGCGACCCGTCGGGAGGAAAAAAGCCGTAAGTCGCATTTTTATCGATTTTTCGTTTTTGATATCGTTGGAAAGCTCTTTTCATGACGCGTTTAATGGTACTGCTCAAACGTGTGTACACTCAAAAATGAAAATATTATATATAATATAAAAATTCAAAAACGGATTTGTTACATCAGGGATAGCAAAACACGCAGGAAGAAAGCCGTATCCTTAAATTCGGCAGATACGGCATTTATGCAAAATTTCAAACAAAGAATATGGAACTGATAAGTCAGAAAGAAAGCCGCATCTTGTAGATACGGCTTTTATTTGATGGTGGCCTGTGAAATATGAGCCGAATCGTTGGTCCAGGCAGTTTGGAAGAAAGCCGTATCTACTCATTAGCATGGCTTCGGCATATCCTGGACGGAACAGTTGAACATTTACACAAACATGCTACGTGATCGCAGCAATATGTGACCATTTATAGGGGAATTTTAATTGAAATAAAATAGGGAGTGAACTTGAAAAGTTTGAAGCTAACAGAACTTTGCCAGCTCGGTGGTGTCAGCAGGGTGCCGGGCATTCAGTATTTTGATGTGCTAACCAGCCGGGAGCGCCAGTATAATCCGACCGTTCTTTTCCCCAGCTTCGTTTAAAATTGCAATAAAAATACCCGATCTAGCCTCCCCCATGATTAATTTGTCCTCCCTGTCCCCACCCCACCCCAAAACCAAAATAGCATCATGTTAAGTTCGACCCGGTAATCATCATAGACATGCAGCTCGTAACCGGCACGCTTAGTACGACGACCTACAATCTTTGTCGTAAAACCGTTGAAGATATAGTGAAGATATAGTTGAATACCGTGAAAGGTCGATTGCTATTGCCAACCTCGTCACATTCACTGTGATAATTGTGACCACGCCCATGGATCTTTGGGACGTCATCCCCTGTCACTTCCATTCCTGGTCAATGACTTTACCGTCTTCTTTCCGGCTCCCTCATACCCATGATGCTCAATCATATTGGAAATTTAGGCTACCTTGTAGCACCCACACAAGCCCAACATTGTCATATTCTACGGGCAGCTGCCCAGAGCCTACCAGCACAGCTGTGGCCGGTGAAGGATGCAGCAAGGCGTACTGAATAGCCCTCTGCTCTGTTGCAGTAGGCGCTATAATCAGAGCTCTGTGAATACGAGTGCACATGCAGGGGCCTTTTGAGGGTGCGCCCTCTAAAGGGCGTTCCCGCAGACGTGTGGAGCTCTCAGCAGTCTAGCGATCTCCGACAATGAGGCGGAATTTGCTTACACCCTCAGCCGCGGCACAGTGCTGTCGCCCTAGATGTTTCGCACAGGCTTTGTAGATGCAGTTTCTTTACAGGAATTCCTGAAGTTCTACACAATCCTCTATTTTGGTTCAGGAGCCCGGCGGTTCCGTGCTTGTAGCTGCGCACCACGTGACTTAACAGCGTCCCTTTTCCGGGAACCTGGTCGGAAACACGGAGGTCCCCAAGCGTTTTCGTTTTAATTATATGAATCCAATTAGTATCACAACATGCTATAATCCAACTATCTAACATTCACTGCCAGTAAAATGCAACAGCTTACCATTTAAAGCTGGCAAAATTGACCCCAAAACACCACATGCCTCACCCCTCGCAACCGACGCTGACGCCATGCTGGTTACGGCGGATGAACACAATTTATAAACAATCAAGGCTGCAAAAATATCAGATGCGTTTCGCGTGCACAATTTTTTATCGCAGCCAGAAATGACAAACAATATCAAGGTTCTCAAATTGTTATGTCTAAAGCGCGGACAACTTTAAATTTGAGAAAAGCGATTATTACTCGATGAAATTCAAAGAGGTGTCCTAACCTAACCTAACCTAACCTAACCTAACCTACTGATTTTTGCCTAACGAGCTTAAAGAAGCCTAACCTAACCTACTGATTTTGCCTACCAGGCATAAAGAAACCTAACCTAACCTAACCTAACCTAACCTACTGATTCTTGCTTACCGGGAATCCTAACCTAACCTAACCTAACCTAACCTAACCTAACCTAACCTAACCTACTGATTTTTGCCTACCAGGCATTAAGGAACCTAACCTAACCTAACCTAACCTAACCTACTGATTTTTGCCTACCGGGAATCCTAACCTAACCTAACCTAACCTACTGATTTTTGCCTACCAGGCATTAAGGAACCTAACCTAACCTAACCTAACCTAACCTACTGATTTTTGCCTACCGGGAATCCTAACCTAACCTAACCTAACCTAACCTAACCTAACCTAACCTAACCTAACCTAACCTACTGATTTTTGCCTACCGGATAAGGAAATAGTTACTTGCAGGAATAGATTGCAGGCAATAGTAAATCAAATATTTTCAGGTTAAGTGGTCATGCATCAGGCTTCAGGCCTTCGGCCTGAAGCCAGATACATAACCATTTAACCTAAAAATATTTGATTTACTATTGCCTGTAATCTCTCCTAAGGCATTGCCTTCGGCACTGCACTGCTTCGCCACGAGTTGGCCACCGACGAAAACATGCACAGTACAGGCGAAGAAATGTTGGACGAAGAATGAAAATATGTACAGACAAAAAAATGCACGGACCAAAAAACGAAAATAAAGAAAATGCACGAACGAAAATATTTACGAACGAAACATTTCTGAAGACTTTTTCAGAAAAGTCGCTATCATTCGTCGACAGATCTGGCGCATCTCGTGAGGCGCTTTACCGAAAAAGAAAATTACCGAATTCTCTTCTATTGAAAATTAAAAATACAGAACCGTAATGTAATTCCAAAATTATTTGTGTATATCTATCACTTTTTCATAAAAATAGTACCCCCCCCCCCCCACCCAAAACCCCGGTTTCCCACAGTTCCCCTAGTGTGTTGGGTTTTATGAAGATACTACATTTCTGCGTAATGGTATTTAACAACAATTGACATGTTGACAACAGACCGTCGTGCGGCTCCACCGAGATCGTGGTAAGAATACGATTAGTTAGCTTTTGGTCTTAAAATTATCGATCAGATAACTGGAAACCACATTATTCTTACTAAACATGAGTTTCTCTATAGAATGATGTCTATATTATAGGGATTAACTAATTTTTGAAGCGGGGACCTCCATGTGTACCGCCGGGAACCTTGTGTCCAGCTAATCAGCAACATTCCCACTCATCGTCTCTTGCCCCCTTGAAGTGCTTTGAGGTCTGCAGATCGACGATGGGAAACTACACTATCTCGGTTCTCTCGACATTGTCGCCGTGGCTCCGGCGCAGCGGCAGACCTGCACACTCATCTCTCCGAATATATCGGTGGCTCAGAATTAACTCTGGAGTCCAGTGTAATAGAAAATTGAAGCACCGTACAAAGACAGCATTCGTGATTCCCCTTGTTGGTTGCAGGCACGTAGCCAGGATTTTGCTCAGGGATGGGCCACAGGTCGCTGCCTAGTGTCGTGCCCCTCCAGAAAAGGAAAACTCCTCGGATTTGGCCCACTATCTCTTGGGGTGTGGTGCACAGTGTAAAATTTTTCCGGTATTAGCCTGGAAAATCACAGTTAATGAAATCTGCTAATTTTTCATCCTGGCTCATAATTTTCATCTTTCAACACAAATGCACCAAATCCTTATTCAAATCGGTTAAAATGTCCCAAAATAATGTTAGAAGGTTAAAAACTGCACCTATCATGAAAACCACAAAAAATATATACATGATAAATTATACGCACCTTCATTTCCAATCAGCAATGATAGTAATGACACATGGAAATATCTCAGCACAGTGTATGTATCATGCGCTTCGTGATTGCCTCGATTAAAAAAAGAAACAGAACAATAAAAAGGTGTAGGTAAGTGCAGATAAATACACTCGATAATACAATATTATCAATCAAATAATGTCTAAAAATTAAAATTAAATTAATTTATTGCTTTTGTATAAACATTCCCTGAAGAATTGCATTAAACTAGTTCTACAACTGAATGATGAAATTAGGATGAAAAAGCATTAAAAAGGCCAGGCTGAGGATGAAATTTTCCAGGTAACCGCGGGGATCTCTCACGCCTTCATGAAGTTTCCAAATCATCTGCTGTTTGGATAAGCATGTTAAATGGATCGTTCTCCATGTTTGCTGAAGATATAATCGAAAAATATTGAATATTAGGGAAATTATAGCTGTTTTCTTACAGAGTGTCCGAGGATGAAAAATTCTTCGATTTTTAGTCACCAGTCGAGAATGCTTGTAGGGAGTCTAGTCAATATTTTTATGACTGTAATGCATTTTTTAGAAGATAAGACACTGGACTTCGTTATAAGATACATACAAACTCTTAGATTGCTGTTGATATAAAAATATTGCCTTTCGAAAATGAACAAAAATTTCATCCTCGGACTGGTGTCCAGGCTGCAACATGGACGCAAGCTATCTCATGATTTGATGAAAGATATGGCAAATACTATACATATGTGACAGCCTCGATCATTTTTGAACTGTGTGGTGCAAGTTTCTTCCGATTTGATGCCATGCAGGCTGGGTAATGTCTCGAGGGAAATTGCACCTCTTACGGTGCCGGGGGCCGGGTTCAGTTTAATGCAACGCAATTATTTAGTAGCCGCATTTGCTGGCGCCAGCGTGACAAACTACGGCGCAAACAACGCGTCGCGTGCCTTCCGTTTTCAGAGAGGGTAATGATCAGTAGGCGGAACTATGGTCAAGCGTACCCATTTTCGGGAACGCATTTTCGTTCCCATATTTGGGAACGATAAACCCAAATATGGGAACGCCATGTAGGCATTATTTAAAACAAGAAAAAGAACCGTTAAA